TCCATCCATCCATCCACCCATCCCACATGTCCTGTGCATCAGAGTTGGGCCTAAGTGGTGTGCTGAGGAATGGTTACTATCCAGCCCTCAAAAACCCAAACAAATCTCACTTTGAGCGCTCACCAATTTATGTGGTATAAATATGCTCCCACCATTGCTCGAGCTCTCAACCTGTCTCTGAGTGTGAAATTGGGGAAAGATGCATTCTGCGCTGAATCTGAAGGATGGGCCTGGGGAAGTCGGGGAGGGATGGAAGGTGGGACACAGGGGGCACAAGGGGGAGGCCCAGACACCCAAATGTAGTGCAGGTGTTCAGGATGTGTGTGGCCCTGGATGCCCCTGGGATGGACGGGTGATTAGATGAGGTTGGAAAAAAACTGAGGGCCCGGTCCTAAGAAGATGGGAAGGAGTTTGGGTTTGATATGAGGATCAGAGGCGATTTAGGCAGGTCGTAGTCATCGTGACCAGGCTTGTTTTATCAAAGGGCTTCCGGAGGTCCAGGTGGGAGGGAATGAGAGAAGGAAAGGGAAGAGCAGGGAGCCCAGAAGGAGGCTGCTGCAGGGGTCCAGCCTGTTGTGCTGCTCTTTGTCCTGGAGGTGGAGAGGAGGGGCTGGGAGGGCTGTCAGGCAGCTCAGTCTTCGGGACTCGGCACCAGTTGGCTCTCGGCAGGCAGGGAGCGAGGGTCGCTGAGAGCACGGGGCTTGAGCAGATCCAGGAGCTACCCTGACCCCATATCCAGCAGGATGTGGGAGCCCAAGAAGGAGGTGGTCGTGGATCCGGGCTCCCATCTGGGAATGGGAGGGGAGGGAGCTGCAGGACGGGGTCTCGGGGACACAAGGCACCTCCTAATCATTCCCTCCTGGCTGAGTCACAGCGGGGTGCAGTGCTAACCTCACACAGTGAGGGGTGGGGGAGAGGTGGACAGAGATGGAAGGAGCTGGGTAGATGGCCTTGCAGGCCGCGGAAGACAGGGCAGGGATGACTGTGAGTGCCACTCAGACCCTGGGCCTCTCTTGTCACTCCAGATACGTGTCCAGAGAGGGTTTCTATTTATAAGTGAGTAGGACGGCTGCTCCCAGCTCGGAAGGCTGGGGGTGGGGTGGGGTGGGACACATGTGATAGGTCTCAACTTTTGAAAGGAGTCAGACTGCTCTGTGATTCTCCTGAATGCTAGGGAACTATCACAGACACCCCAATGGTGGCCTTTGGGTGCTGGGGTTTATGGACACCTCCCTGCAAGCCAGTCCCTTGTCCTCCAGGAAGTGGAGTTGGGGAACAAGCAAGCCTTTGGGGGACCATTCTTCGACAGCTGACGGTGTCCACACTCTCCAGGGGTCGGGAAGGGTGCTGTTTGGGAGGTGTCTGGCTGGGGGGTGCCCCAGGCTTCCCGAAGTCCATGTGGGAACTTGACCTGGGCACACCCGTGAGAAGATGACGCTGGGAGTCACGGGGCTGGAGCAGAGCCAGAGCACCCCAGAAATGTAGGTTCTAATGGGAAAGCCCTTCTGTCTCATGGACAATCCATGCCCACTGCTATGAGGGGCACTTCTGGGGAACAAGCAGGGGTGCTCATACCCAGGCAAGGAACTTGAAAGGGTTTGTGAAGGAGGCACCTTTAGTTTTTTTTTTTTTTCATTGTTTTTTTATTTTGCAGTGCTGGGCATTGAACCCAGGCCCTTGCACATGCTGGGCAAGCACTCTACCACCGAGCCACACCCTCAGCCCTTTTATTAATTAATTAACTTATTTTGAGGCAGGGTCTTGCTAAGTAGCCCAGGCTGAATTTGAACTTGCAATCTTCCTGCCTCTGCTTCCTGAGTAGCTGGGATGACAAAGATGTACTGTCATGTCCAACGAGGAGGTGGCTTTGGGGAGGGCCTGGAAGGATGGGTGGGATGACGGCTGGAGTCAAGGGCAGAGAGGTCTGGGAGGACGGCCGAGGGGACATTATCAGCCTGGCTGGGAAATACACCGTGGTGGTGGCACAGGGCTGATGTGAGGCGCTTGAGCAGGGTGATAGGAGTCCAGCCCGGTGGTGGTGAAGGAAGCCAGAGCCTCCAGTCGGGGCAGAAGGGCCATCAGAGACAATGAGGACCCCACACTGGGGCTGAGGGGATGAGGTGGGGACGGTTCCACTAGCCACCCCATCTGTGGCCCGGGCACCTGACTGGCAGGAGGAGTGAAGGGCGGGCATGAATCCTAGACAACCCCAAGGTTCCCAGAATTGGGGGAAGGAGCAGGTTCAGGAGCAATGTAAGAGGATTTGTTTTGGAGTGGCTGAGTTTGAGATGGCTGCGGGCCAT